GGTAATGCAGATGGTGAGGGCTAGGATCAGGTTTTAATATAGACTTGCTCCACCCAGTCCCTGATCTTTCACCACTACCAATGTCCTGCCTGGGAACCCAGTAAGAAAAGCAAGGCACTCACCAGGAGTCATCAGGATTCTTGCAGCAAACAGTAGGAGAGCCACTTTAGGGTAGCACCCCCACCCTTCCGTAGATACTAATTCTATTTGTTGACAGTGTTCTCCTTAAATTTCTGGCTAAGGTTCACTTCTGAGCTTAGCATGAAGCCTGTGTATGGAAGGGCTGTCCTCTGTAGAACACAGACAGCTCCTGCTACGGCTTCAGCACGTGGGCATTGGTTTTTTAGCCCTGCGGCCAGAGAATCCCATCACAGAAGGCACCTTGGCAGCTAACAGGGACAGGCGCGGAAGTGTGGCTACAGAAAGGGTTTTCTCTCCAAAGTGAGAGTCTGTCTCCTTGTGGGGCTGCCACTGAATTCACCTGCTCATGGCAGGGCATCCAAACATTTTTTTGTTTTGAGGTGATGAATATTTTGTAATTGGCATTCAAACTCATGTGTTCAAAGCCAAGAAAACCTGGTTTTGAGAAAAGTTTGAAATTGTTTGTTCTCCCCACCGTTGTGCATGTCTCAAAAATATTTGTATTGAAGACCTCAAGTTGTTTGTGAGCAGGAAGCCAACCCAGTTTACAGTGAGGGGATGGTGAGGAGAAGGGTAAGAGCTATGCTGCCTTGTAAAACCCAGTTCCTGGCAGAAACGGGAATCCCAAGTCTTCACTGGGAAAGCTAATCCAGGTAAAAGAAAATCAGATCTGTTGTTTAGGAAAGATGGGACCTGCTATTTACTTTAAGAAAGAATTATGCTGTTCAGACCTCACAGCTCTTCAGATTGATTGGCTTCTAGTTACCTCCTAAGAAAATTTAAGCTGGGTGTGATGGTGCAATACTCAGGATGGAGCCTGAGGCAGAAGGCTTGCCATGAGTTTGAGGCCACCTTGGTCTACATAGTACCAAGCCAGCCAGATCTGCAAAGAAAAATACTTTTTCAAGAAAAGACTAGCAAACAAACAAACAAACAAATAAATGCATGTTAAAATGTGAAAATTCTAGCATGCTCACCTGTCGGTTTTTGCATGATGTAGGCTTTTATTTCCAGTTATGAATAAAGTGCTCATCATGTACCCAATATAAAGTTTATATTTAACTTACACTGTTCTTAGAATAGTATTGAGATAGGCACTACTCTTAACTGTCTTTGGTAGGGGGAAACTGAGGAAGAGCCAGGTGAGAAACCTAGTCCAACAGCTTCACTGTCATAGATGAAGTGGGGACCGTGTTGATGATGAGGACATATGGAACACCATGTGATGTATCTCTAAACCTTCACATTGGTGTCCTTACCTCAGCCCTATGCATAGGCTGTGTTATGCTTGATTTACAGTAAACTGAGCCTCCCTAAGGGAAAGGGATTCACACAAGTTCCTAGGAGGCTGAGGCCTCACTGTAGGATGGGTCCAGGTGTCTCCAACCACCACACTGTACTCCCTCCACTCTGATGATTCGCTAATGATGCTTTTATTCTTGTGGTGTGTGTGTGTGTGTGTGTGTGTGTGTGTGTGTGTGTGTGTGTGTGTTTTGGCCAATCTGGTTAGCCACTGAGGTACAAAGGAATCTCCCTGTCTCTTCCTCAACAGTGCAGGGATTATAGACAAGTACTGTTGCCTCTTGCTTTCACAGGGATGTGGACCCTTTCCTGACTGGGCCATCTTCCCAGCCCCTTGGAGTATTCTTATACAGTCATGCCAAACATAGGCAAAAGCCCCTCATTAAGCAATCTTTTGATGGGGTCAGGGGTGTCAAAAATGACCTCATTAGCTCTGCTCTTCCCTTGTTCTGCTGCTACCTATCCCGTCCTCACCCCTAAGAGGTACAAACAACCTCCATGAAGAGTTCTCTGAAACACCCCTGTGAGACCCTCCTATTTCATGCTGCTCTAGAGGCCATCCAGGACTCTCCACTTCAGCATGTCAGTGCGCATCACCCTTGTGTGAGGGCAGGCGCCTGGCATGAGCAGATCTAGCTGGAGGTTCTGCCCTCTGTTCAGACCCTCAGTGAGAGCTTCCTTTTCAGACCCTCAGCTGAGGAATTTGAATCACAGGAGGCCTTCCCTGTCTTCTACCCCTACACAAGCGTCTTTCCCACATGGCTCAGACATAGCTGCACACATCGTTTTGCACAGGCACACAGCACCCTATGGTAGAAGCCTTCTGTGTGTCAGTGTCAGACTCCCTCTGATCCACCCCTCCCCCATGTTTTCCCCCCATTAGGCAAATGGAAGGCCCCTTGCCACCTGTTAGCATTACGTCATTGGCTCCGCAGAACACAGTTGTACCCAAGGCCTTAAACAAAGTAGTTCTTCTTGTATTGTTTGCATTCAAAGAGCTGATATCATGCCAGCTGATGTCATTGTGTGTCTTTGTGTGACTGCTATGGCAACTGGGCAGGTGGGGAGCCTCCGGCTGATGTCACTGAGAAAGTGTGTGTGGGGGGGGGGGAGACTGAAATTTGAAAAGCTCTATGCTGGTTTTTTGGGGGGTGGGTAGGAGGGGTTTTGGCATGCTTTTATTTTTATTTTTTTTTTCTTACTAGCTGCTTCTAAGACAAATTACAGCTTGGGTATACTAAATAAGAAACCAACGATCCTCTGTCCTCCACCTCCCAGCCTCTCCTTTTGAGTTCAGTTTCCCAGTCCTTCCTTGAAACTTATATGAGGAAAAAAAAAGGTTTCAAGTACCTTTTTCTGAAGAAAAAAGTGAATTAGGTTCCCCTGGCCTGATCAGCATGAAGCTGTTTTGGGGGGTGAGGTGGGGGGCTTTGTGGAGCCCAGTAGATTTCAACACAGCTCCCTCCAGTGTCCTCTGCGGAGTTTGGAACATGACAGTGGGTAGTTTTACACTCTACTTTTTAAGCATTCGCTGGTGAGGCTTTTCTGGTATCCTGCATCTTTCTTTGTGGCTGGAAGACTCCCTTTGGGCTAGCCACCAGGTGGAATGATCTCACAGCAGAAGGCAGCAGCAAGGGCAGAGCTGATCACAGCTATGAATGCGTGTCCTTGTGTCTTATGTGCTCTCCTAAAAACATTTTTATTTTCTTTACTCTTGTCCTTTTTGACCTGAAGTCTGAGCACAGGATGGCTTTCCTGAGTTTACTGTGAATTGTTACCATGTCCTACTCAAAGTACGATGTTGTCTGTCACACAGCTGTGAGCATTGGTTGGGGATGTGCTCTGTTCAGGTTAAAGATAGACTTGAGGTGTAGAAGAATGTGATGTCAGTTCAGAAGCTGGTGGACAGATGGACTTTCTGTCCTTCTGTTAGCAGAGCCATATTCGATTCAGGCCTTGTGCTTTCAGCCTGGAGACTATGAAGACCTATGTGACCAGGAAGACGCTACTTCCAGGAACTTCCCAGCGTCTCACCTTTTCCCAGAAGCCCCCACACGTCCCACGCTGCTCTCCAGGGGTTCACACTCATTTGGTGACCCCCCTCCCCAGGTTTCTTAATGTTTCACTCAGCTATGTTGCAGAATTTGAGCACCATAATCCTTCAGGTCTGCGCATGCGTGCCATGTGTAACGTAAGGAAGGCAGAGTTAAGAGTCAAACTCTGATCCATAAATTTCTCTAATTTTTCTTTTTGTGTGTTAGACTTAAGGCTTTTTAAACAATGTTTTGAATGAGCTTTTTTTTTTTTTTAACATCAAACAAACATTTTCTTTGGTTGTTATATGTCGTTATTCCATGGTGAATTTAATAACTTTATTAAGTTTTGATTTTTGATATTTACCTAGCCTTTTCTTTTTCCACTTCTTCTTGTTGTAAGTATGCTCACACTGTCTGTGGAAGTGTGGAAGGGGGCACTTTGGAGAGTCCGTTCTCTGCTTTCTCCATTAAGCAGCTGCTGTTGCATGGTACCCCATGTGTGCCTAGCTGCACACACCTGTGCCTGAGTGCTTTCCAGAAGTGACTCTGCTTACACAAGGCCCCGTTTGCCCGCTAACAGTGGGAAGGCGGGTGCAGCTTCAGCCTTTGAAGCGTGTCAGGCGCAAGTGTTGGAGTTAGAGCGGAGCCCCAGCTCCGAGTGCGCATTAGAGGATCCATCAGTGGTCCCCGTTAACAGGTTAGTGAGCTCACCATCCGCTAAAAGCTAAGTACAGGAAAATGAGCCTGCTGCTGCTCTCCAGAAAGCCAAGATCTACAAATGGCAAGGGCCTCATGGGAAAAGTCATTTTATAGACCTGAGTTGCTCTTCCAGCCATGACTTCCCTTACGTAGCTTCCCTCCTCTGTTTCTACCTTTGGGCAACCATAGAAATAACATGAATAACGTGTCCATGGTGGGTGGCCAGGCAAGCCTGGGGATGGAGTGGGGTGCCGAATGCTTTATAACCGTGTTTACTCCCTCCTCGGCCACACACTCAGGGACAAACTACACTGAGACCCCCAGAGACACATGAGCCCGTGCAACTCGGTGAGCTGCTCGGCAGTGCTAGCAGGCTGATAGCTGGCATGGCATGGCTTCTCCACAGCTCCTGCTTCTCACTGCTCTGCTGCAGGGGAGTGGGCTTGGCCCTCTGTAAAGCAAGTTATGAAGGGCACAGCACAATCTTAGGGTGCAAAAGAAGTCCTCTGTAGGACAGTGCCATCCCTGCATTTCTCAGCTTCCAAAGTACAAGGTTATATATAGGCCAGGGACCATATGTCTGTTAAAGGCAAATCAAATTTTCAGTTAATGAAATTACTGGGTGCCGTGTGGGCTGTGTTCCCAAGCACCTTGGCCCAGTTTGTGCACTAAGGAGCTCAGTGCCCTCTGAAGCTGGCTCTGGTTTTTGTTTTTATTCCAGAAATGAACATAGCCACAGTAGCCTTCATTGCTATGGGGAAGCTAGCATTTCCTGTGGGCCTTGTCCCCTTCTCACACGTGCTCTCTGTGTTTTCCTTCCAGGAGGACTCAGTAGTTTTAAACAGAACCATGAAAACCTCTGTGACAACTCCCTCCAGCTCCAAGAGTGCCGGGAGGTGGGGGGCGGAGCATCTGCGGCCTCAAGCATGCTACCTCAGTCTGTCCCCACCACCCCTGACATCGAGAACGCCGAGCTGACACCCATCCTGCCCTTCCTGTTCCTTGGCAATGAGCAGGATGCTCAGGACCTAGACACCATGCAGAGGCTTAACATCGGCTACGTCATCAACGTCACCACACACCTTCCCCTGTACCACTATGAGAAAGGCCTCTTCAACTACAAGAGGCTGCCAGCCACTGATAGCAACAAGCAGAACCTGCGGCAGTATTTCGAAGAGGCGTTCGAATTCATTGGTAACTATCTGCTGGGGTGTTGGGGGAGCGCCTTCTCTGTTCTGAGGGAAATCCCATCTCTAAGAAGGTAGTAGGCACTGACCACCGCATGTGTGCTATGGCATGCCTGTCCCTGTACACACACACAAAGACTCAGGAGAGACAGAAAGTCAAAGACAGAGAGAAAGAAAGAGAGAGAAGGAGAATAAAAGAGAAAAACGAAGGGCCTACTCTTGATTCCTAGCCAGGACTTTTTATCCAACACCCTGGCCCTATGTTTACCATACCCCATTAATTAGTTCCTAACACTGGGTAAAAAGATGCCCTGGGTTCTTTATTCATAAAATCTGAGCCACGCCTTGAATCCTGAGCAAGGAATGCTTGCCACCAGGTCGATGAGGAAGTGCCTAGTTGGTAGAGGTTGTTAATAAAGGAAAGTCCACCTGACTTAATTCCAGGTGGAGGAAGTGGAAAGTTGTTTTCCACTTAGCAAGTAGCATGGGATAGGCTTGTTGTAAGAGATCACAGCCATGGAGCTCCACGGCGCTCACATTCCTTCTGGATTATTCAGGCTTACCTCCCCTTTTAGAAGAAAAACAAAACTAATAACAAGCAACATTTGGCCCAAAGAACAATCCAGGATCACGTGTGTGGGCACAACTTTGTTCTCCTTGTCCTGTGATTGGATACACTGAAATTTTATAGCGTGGCTTCAGGGGGAACGTAGCAGGGTTCACAGCATAATAAGTCACCCAGTTTAATATAAATGAAGCAATGTTCCAGAGCCTGGTGAGCTAGTGTCACTTCAAGCAGGAAGACAGAAGTCCTCAGGGTCAGAAGACGCATGAGGTCACTCAGCTAGTGTGTTAGTGGGACAGTGGTCAAACCCATGGCAGCCCTCACTCATTCTCTTTCCACCACACTGGATGGTCTTGGTTTGGAGGTCACTTAGTGTGTGCTGAAGAGAAGCTGACAAAAGGAGACTTTCCTGAAGCCTTGTTCTTGGCTCTTAAAGCAAGCTTGTCTAGAGGTTGGTGAGAGAGACGTTTCCATCCTGTCTGTCTCTTAGGCTACTGGTAAGCAGCCAGTGCGGTGACTTAAGTGAAGGAACAAGCCTCCTTACCCCCTTCTCCTCTACCTGATCATTGGCCTGGATTCCTGGGGATGCATTTTAATCTAGAAGTGTCCAGTGTTCACAGGCATCTGAAGCTTTTAATATGAAACATGCGGCTTTCAGTTGCTCTCCATTCTGAGCTGTTAGGGACTCCTGTCTTCCAAGTGATTGCCATGTAGGAACAGCACTGAGTGAGGGTGAGGAGACAGACCAGGGAGAGGGCTGTGCACCAAGTCGGTGTTCTACAAGTCTAACTTTGACAGTCGTCTGGTGAGAAGCGGTGTGTAGGGACTTTCTGGCTGAGCTTTACTCCTTCCCTCCCATGGAATTTCAGTATAACTTATGCAGTAAATGCTAGCTCTTATAGAGAACAATATGGGATAGAGAAATATAAGGGATGTGTATGTGAGTATGTGTGTGCACTCTTGTGTCCTGTGTGTGTGTGAGCATGTATGGGTCCAGCATGTGGAAGATACATTGAGAATAGCACTGGTTTTTATGAGCCATGTAATCATATAACCTAGAAAGTGGAATTAACATTGTTAGTGAGAAAAAAGAATTTTATCATAGATGCCCATATGTGTATGTTGATATTTCCATTCCCTCTGTCCTCCTTTTCTTGCTTTTTCTTTCCTTTTTGTCAGTGGTATGGTTTTAGAGAGGATAGAACAGGAACCAGACAGTCAAGAGAGAGAGGCCTGGTGACATGTATGGTGAGCTTAGTAGGGCTAGTTTTCACGAGTGTGTCCTGTTGTAGGGATAGCTTCTGTCTTTTCCATCTCCTGGGACACCTGCTTTCCTACAGACAGCTTTCCTGGTCCATTTCCTGTTTAAATGTACAGCGTTAGGGAGCTGGGAAGATGGTTCAGGAGGTAATGTGCTCATCACGCAAGCGTGAGGGTGGGACTCGGATCCCCGGAATCCATGTAAAAGCCATGTAGCTGGAGCAGCATGCCTGGACTCCCATGGCACAAGGGGCTGAGACAGGACACCCCAGGGCAAGCTGCCTATTCAGACCAGCAGAAACAGTGAGCTCTGGGTTCAGCAGGAGATGTGTGTCATATAACATGGAGAGCAATCAGGAAGACACATGACATGACATCAACCATAGTGTCCATGCATCAATACCCACACGTACCACATAAACACACACACATACACACACCCCTCCCCTTCAAAACAATGAAGGGTCAATGAGATGGCTCCTTGGGTCAAAGGTGCTTGCTGCCAAGACTGACAGCCTGAGTCCTTTCCCCACCAACTCATACTGCAGAAAGAGAGTACCGAGTTGTCCTTGACCTCCCCCACGCACACTGGGGCATGCATATCCTCTGCCCAGGCTTTTAAAAGAAGGTAAGAAAATGCAGACCAGCAGTTCCTCATTCCTGATGTGTCCTGCCCTGTAGCCCGTGACCTGAACATGTGTGCCATCCTCTGGTGCGCTGTGCTCTGAATGCAGTGGAATCCACTGTTCCTGTACAGAAGGAAGCACTGCCGCATCAGGCTCACATTCACGTTCCTGGGCCCCCCTCTCTCCTCCTGTCCCCTTAATCCTGTCTGTCTGTCCCACAGAGGAAGCTCATCAGTGTGGGAAGGGCCTTCTCATCCACTGCCAGGCCGGCGTGTCCCGCTCTGCCACCATTGTCATCGCCTACTTGATGAAGCACACACGGATGACCATGACTGACGCTTACAAATTCGTCAAAGGCAAACGACCAATTATTTCCCCAAACCTCAACTTCATGGGGCAGTTGCTGGAATTCGAGGAAGACTTAAACAATGGCGTGACACCACGGATCCTCACACCAAAGCTGACGGGCATGGAGACAGTCGTGTGACCGCAGGCAGGATGGAAAGGCCATGGCTCAGTTAGGAGAGGAACAGGAAGGAAGGAAGGGGGATTCTGGCTTTGTTTTTGTTTTCTGTTTTTCTTTTCTCTACTTACTTTTTTTTTTTTTAAGTTGGGGTAATGTTTGTGAAAGGAAGCAAACTTGTCTAAACTATTTTTAATAAGTGTGAGAAGACTATATATAAACTTTTGATGCCTTTGAGCGTCACTTCTCTTAAGCTGGTATTGCAGGGAGGTTAAAGAGGTCATTTTTTTAAGCCAACCAATAAAGATATAAACTTGTTTCTCCCCGGTTTTCCTTGTAAGCTATTGTAGAGTTTTGACTAAATAGTCTGTGCGGGCTCATAGACCGAAGATACCACACTTGAGTTACAAAGAACCAAAAGTGAATGGAAAAGACATTGACTCTAGACCTGGGACTTGCCTGGGCAACCAAGTAGAAAACAAATCCCACCAACCCATGCCCTGCTGCGCTCACTGGTGTGACGTGACGAGCGGGCAGCCGCGGTGGTGTCAGCTCGCCTCCTGCCTTCTCTGCAGAGACAGAGGCTGTTGTGGATTTTGTGTGTTTCATGCTCTGGATACTTTTTCCCCTTCTCTGGGTTTGAGAGAACTTTTTTTTTTAATTTCTTTAATAGAAAGAAAGTGTCCAATATACTATGTGCCTTTGTTGGCACTTGTGCAATCAAATGGTGTTTGGAGTGTGCGGGTGACTTAGAGTTGGCAGCTGAGTAATGGAGTGACCCAGCTTGGAGATAGGAATTCAACAATACCAGTGGCCTCCCCTTCCACCTTTGTCCTCCCCTCCCCTCTCTTTCCTCCTTCTTCCCCTTTTCTTTCTTTTTTGATTTGATTCTGGTTACAGTGCCATAAACCTTGTTACATATGTATATCAGAATGTAAAAAAAAAAAAAAAAAAGACAAAAATTTATTTAAAAAATATTTTTCGCAAAAAAAAAAAAAAACCTTGATGTGTTTTTGTTGGTGGTGTAAAATTTATTTTGATTATATAAATGAAATTCATTTGGGGATATGTCATTCTTTGCACTCGCCCCTCTTGTCTGCTTAGGACCTTGCCTTTCTTGCCTCTGGAACTGGAGGCATCATATAATTAGAAATAAAACACTGGTTTTTATACAGAGATAAGAGTGTAAAGCAGGAAAAATTCTAAGGATGGATGCTAATATTCCCAGCCCTGATAGTACACTTTCTTTCCCTCCCATCCTCTTTCTGCAAGACAGTGGACTAACGGATTAGAGGGGCTTCCTTCAGACTTGATAATCAAATCACTGCCAAATTAAAAATTTAGAATACAGTTATCTCCCTGATAACTGTACATAAATATCAGTGACAGTCTGTCATGTATAGTTTTCACAGTCCTGCCTCACTTGCTACAAGCTCACTTACACTTTTTAGGGACATTCGCCCTGTAATATAAGTTGCAAGATATGCTCTTCCAATTTTCCCCAGTCAATAGAACTCAGCTCTTTATGTATACCCTGACTGTGACAATGCTGGACAGTCAACACACAGACAGTTGGAAGTAGGGTGGGAAAGGAATATAATCTTAGTGTTTTCTACATTTTTATTAGACGGCATATCTAGTGGGACTTAGCCACCAGGAAGCTTTGCAGCTCCCCAAAGATTGCCTGGTGTGAGCAAGCGTTAAAGAATTCTGGCGTGTCTGGCTCTATGTGGCTACATTTGACATAAATATTTGTGTGAACATTTGCTTACAAACGTTACACCAGAAATATTTTGACATTGATTTCTTTTTTTTTTTTCAAACAAAAAAAAATGACTCTTGTCTGCCAAGAGTCATTTAAATTTTTCTTTCATTAGAAAAATGGAAATTGAACATAACAGGAATTAGCTGAGAGCTAGCTGGAATTATTTTAGTCTAATATAGAGTATAAAGTAGGCAAAAAGTAAATCTCTATTTGGCATTTCTGTACTGTCAACAGTTTTTGGTTTTGTTTTTACTGTCAACGAGAGCACACTGAAAGAGTACACTTCTGATACACAGTGACTGCCCAGCAGTCTCATTTTCTAAATCTAAATGTTTAAATTCTGATGGGGTATAAAATTCTCTCTCTCCATCTCCCTATCCTTCTTCTGCTTTCTCTTTGCTTTTTTATCATTTCTTCTGCAAAGGAAGGGAAAGAATCAATAGCTACATAGACATGATTTATGTATTTGAAAGTTTATGAGCTTAGAAGAAGGTCTGCCTTGGGGCAGACAGAAATCCTGCCAACCAGCATACCAAGAATTCTGAGGACGACTCAAGTCTTTCCTCCTAATCTGCTCTGAGTCACTGTGCCTCCGTTTCTTCATGAGGAATGTTAATCACTTCATGAACACACTGGAGCAGCAGTCCCACTGCCCTGGAAAGCAGACTCCCCAGCATTCTGGGCCACTCACCAGCCGCCTGCAATCTTCAGGATGGAGTTGGGAAATGATCGCGTCCCCTGAGAAAGCACAGTCTCCATCCACCTCATTCCCAGGGGCGATGGTCCAGGCCAAAACGTATCCGTGGTGTAGCTAATGGCATAGAAAGGTAGAGTGGCCTTCATTCCCTTGGTTTGAACAGAACAACAACTGCAGATCCTCCACATTTACTTCAGTAGCTGACCGATGCTTCTCTGGTCAGTGTGTGCTAATCAGGATAGACAGCTCAGCTCACAGAAGAGTTCCTGCTAGTTTGGACAAAGGTAGGTGGGGTGGAGAGTGAAGAGGAAAGCTGACATGAGAGTGTGCAAAATGGCACAGAGGAAAAAAATTCTTAGGACTCATTGATTACATGTTTGGCAGCAAGTGTGAGATGACTCCTGAAAAGCTGGAGATAAGAAACGAGAGAAAATGGGAAAGTACAGTAACAAGAAGAGAAAGAGCACTAGCATAGAATAAGACCCAAAGCATGCTCTGAATGTTGAGAGAGGAAAGCGAGCTAATTTCTCTGGACCGTCTGAGGGTAAGCCCAGTGAGGCAAACAAAAGATCAGTCTTAACCTTCACTTTATTTGTAAGCTGGCTCTTGGACATGAACTATATAGACATTTGGGGAAATATTTTTAACCTCGTATCTCAGATGTTATATCCTCTGGCATATGTTATCAGTAGATACTGGAACAGGGCACAGTAGGAAATGTAAGACACTGGTACTCAAAAGGATGAATAATAAAGTTTTAAGAATCACAGTGCCCCAACTTTACCCATCGGCCCTGTGGAGGTGGTAGGGAATGACAGCACACTGTCAGCAGCTCCTGATTTCAGTCTCTGTGGTAAACTTTAGAAACGGTGTGAAAGAATTAGGATTGGATCAGAGGCAGAGACATGGGAGGATTCACTGGCAGAGCATTGCTTCCATGTGACATGGCCTGAAGTCTCTGTGTTAGTAAGGCCACGTGAGAGAAAAGCTGGACATGAAATGGGGGAGGGGTGCAAAGATGAAATTACAAAGGCAAGCTAGACTCCATATCACTCATTCATCTACCTTGGTGTGGGATGCTTAAAGAACCTAGCACTTTTTTGCTGAATGTACACTTAGCATATGACTTGAAGATGGTGAAGGAGGAGTCTGAGAGAGAGCATAGGAGCTGAAATCGTGGCTTCCGCTAAGTCAAGGTGAGTCACAGGATCAAGGCAAATGCATGCACGCTATAATTCTTCCAGTTACCCCTTCTGAAGTGTGGTGGCTACTTCACTTTGATTTTTCCCAACTTGATGCAAATTTCCTCTAAGACTTCTTAACCCAGTATGAGACAAGCAAGGGAATTCTTCTGGGAAAGGTAGTTTTGGTCTGGGGTAGTTTTGTCTTCAGTAACCTTCTGTCAGTAGTGTTTGTAACCTCCCTCTTTCACTGCTCATTCCATCCCTTTGTCCTCAGCAAATGCTTCATCATGGTTGCTTGCCTTCTGAAGGACAAGACTTTCACAACTGAGCTTTCATTTATTTTATTACAGTAACAAAGACAATTAAAAAGTACAACATTCTAAGAGACACTAACATTCCAGATGTATTTTTACCTCATCCTGTAGTCCAGGACCAGCCCAGTTTACTTGTGGCAATCACAACCATGTCAGCCAGTATAGCAAGATCTACTGTAGTTTTTTTTTTTTTAATTATTTTCTTTTTATGTGTGTGTGTGTGTGTGTGTGTGTGTGCGCGCGCGTGCACGCAGGTGAGTGGCCAGAAGAATGTGTTGAATTATGTGGAGCTGGAATTACAGCCAGTTATGAGAAGGCCAGCATGGATGCTGGGAACTGAACTACAAGAGCAGGATATGCTTTTAACAGATAAGCCATGTCTAGCCTACATTTGCGTCTTAGTGTGAGCTACCCAAGGAGGTGTCAGTGTCCATTTCTAGCATAATGGATCCATAGTGCATTTTTCCAGTAGAAGGCTCTCTCTACCTTAGGAATTAAAACTTGTGAATTTGAGGGCAGGAAAGAACAAGTTCTGTTAAGTGGATCATTAAGGACAGCAGCAGGATAAGCCTGTCTGATTTCTAGCAAAGAAGCAGACTTGTCAGAAGGACTGCTCCACCTTTTTACTATTTCAGAAGGATAGTTAACATGGTAGGATTAAGAAGCTTTGACCTGTTTCCATACACAATTCACCACAAAGCAAGTTCCCTAGAGGTGAAGTGTGGAATATCATGATAGTGGATAAGAAGAATTCTGTGGGTATCCAGTTGCTGAATTTGGCAAGGTATTGTAAGTAGGAAAGGAAACCTCTATGAAGAGTCAGTTTCTGTGGGGTGAGAAGAAGCTTGATATGATATCCAGCATAAATGTGGTTTTGTTATGAGATAGCTGAGTAATTCCCCCAGAGGGTGGTTTACTAGTTCAGGAAATTCGTGTTGGCTCATTTGGAGTTGGTTGGACACGTATGAGTTGCTATAGCCAGTCTAGACTTGGGTGAGTAGAGATGATCATGTCCTTAATTGCATACACACACCCATGTTGACCACCATGGCTACTTTGATCAGGAGCTCATTGATCAATAGAGAAGGGAGAATGACAGAGGTCCTCTTAAGATACTTCTAAGGTTGGGTCTTGGTGGGTAGGGGACAATCTGTCCCCACTAGGGGAAGCTGATCTCTTTGTCCCAAGACTTTCCAATTTGGTTTCCCCTGCTATGTTTCTTCAAAGACTCTAATAAGCTCCTAAAACTGTCAACTACTGCCAATGTAGACTTAGTCTTTGCTACTCTCTTCTTTTAGAAAAAAAAAAAAAAATCAACAGTGAGTTCAATGATGGAAATTCTGCCTATGGGAACATTTTTCTTTACCTGTCTCTCTGGATCACCATAGAGTAGAGATACAGTAATGAAGCCTTTTCACTCTGGGTGACAGGCTATCATACAAAGCTTTCTTTAAACAAGGTCAGTTTGTTTCTCAATGACTACTCAAGAATTTTCCATGACTCTACAGATCTAGGTTTCAAGATGTATTGGGATAGAATATGGGTCTGTGGGTCAGTGCTTATTTATTCACTTGTGCTTGATACTGTATGTTCCATCCCCATTGATAATGAAATGCTGTTATTCATTCTTTATGTATGGTAACATTGAGCCACAATAGAAACTCTGTAGTTGTGGATTTTGCTCAAAATTGATGGCCTTTCATCCCAGTAACGGGATTCTCTCTCCCTAATCTAAAAAGACCCCTTGTGTTTCCTTCCCTGTAGTAGAAAGAAATCTGTTACCTTGTCTATAAAGGAGATATAGTAGCATTCTTAAGTTCACTGTAAGCTCACTGTTGTGGGTTCACTGGCTGTAGGTCCCTGAATGTGTTGGGGTATATTTCTCAACCTTTTCATTGTCAAATAGAGATAGATACAGCTCATTGGGTGAGAGATGACTCAGGTACCCATGGTCTGTGACAGTGCCTGCTGTATCTCAGCAGCGTGTATCAGTTATCTTATCTTGCTCATCAGGCAGTT